CGTAATCATGGCCCCTCGCTTAAGACATGCTCGGCAAGTCATGTTTTTCTTTACTGTTTCGTGGTTCCGCCTATTCTGTAACACTGCCGAATTCATATAAATAAGCATGTCAGTACGTATTTGCGTACATATTTACGTGCATGCATATGTATTCCGATGAAGGATACGCTATTTGAAAAGAAGTCCAACAAGCGAAATCCTCGTTCTAAGGTCCCCCCCCCTTTGTGTACGTACATAAGTAAGTGGCGGCATATGATAAATGAATTACATAATTTTCGGCACATGCGACTAGCCTTGCATTTTAAATGGACTGACATAAAAGCCTTTATTTGATGATATTGCGCTAATAATTGAAATAACTCCATTTATTACTATGCGTAGGTATTAATTTTCAAAACGATAAAATCTTTCAGAAAGTTATTCCTGCACGTGTACTAGCTTTGTGATTAGTCGCGACAAAGCTTTAACTTTTTCCCATATTTAAAGTAAAAAGTATATAAATGAACGCATAATGAATTGCTTTCGAAGTAGTCTCTCAGCCATACGCGTTGAGTGTAGCTCGAATAAGCAGCGAAATGGAGCACTTAAGCATAATATTGATACTCTTCAGAATTCCACTGCTAATTGCTTATCCACAGTTTAACTTGAACTCGGAAAATATTTTGAATATTACACAAATTATAAATAAAATTAATTTGGAACGCAAAATCAACACATTACAAATCATTAATGCTTGCGCCACTGGACAGAGTTGTCTCAGTGATGAGGACATCCGAATGCTCAGCGCTAATGACACTGTTAGTTTGCTGCAACCGAATACTCCTTGCGCTAATCCGTCTAACCACTCAAATGATGAACAGCTTCTCATCAGTTGCTTGCCTCAGATTTTTGTGCCCAATTTATTGGCAAAGATGGTTGCCTGCCTCGGAAATTATCGCCATATCCGCATTCTCTTCATCTGGAATACGGAGTACACCACCGAGTCATCGTCCGAAAAGCGCCACGACCTGCAGCACCAACAACAGTTACTTTTCGAGTATTGTGCCCAAATGCACTTACTGAATGTGATCAGCATCTATAGAGACCATGCGGTTGATGGACATTTCTACACTTTCAGCTATTTTCCTCAGTTCTATATCCAACGCAAAACATTGGAAGATAATTGCTTTCCCGATCGCATAAGGAATATGAGAGGTACCGCCATTAGAATTGTTCCCGACCAGTTTCATCCATGGACTTTTGTGTGGCACGACCGGGACGGCACTTTGCAAATCGATGGATATTTGATTAAAATTTTGCGTGAATTCGCCAAGAGAAACAATAGCACTCTCACTCTTCCAGTACCGGTGGAGCCAGATGTGTCTAAAAGTGGAACGGTGTGGAGTGGTTTACTACAAAATAACACAGTCGATATAATAGTCGGAATAGCGTCTCCAGATAGTAGGAGAACCGGTGTTGAATTATCGACAACGTTGCAGCCAGTGGACTGGATATTTATGCTGCCAATGCCTCCGCTGGTACCTGACGGTGAAGTGCTTTGGTTTATTTTAAATTCAATGTTAGGTCTATCTATGCTACTATTACTTTTCCTGTTCTCTATCGTACTCACCTTCGAAAGTGTACTTCAGCAGCGGCGTTCTCTAAAAAGCATTGTACAATTGTTTATCTGGATGCTCACTAACGTGGTACTCCGTTGTATAATTGGACAGTCATCGTATTTACAAATCTCCGCTATTACCCGGAAGATAAAACGTTTTATGTATTTTTTTCTCTTTCTAAGTGGAATTTTCGTGAGCACATTCCTTTCTGCCGGTCTGCAGTCGTATTCAACCAGCAAGCCCTCTAAATACCCTCTTGTAAGAACTTTCGAAGATCTTGCACAGATTCAAATTGCAATCAAAGTAAGTCAAATGGAATCCGAAATAATTCCGTTATATATCGGTACAAAGTCTACTAAAATGTTAAGGCTGATAATTGAACCTTCGATTTATAAAGTGCAAAACGAACGAACAAGTATGAAGGGAAACTATGCTTACGTAATACTTAGCCCACTTTTGCCCGTGTTGTTACGTCTTCAATCTTATTTACCACGACCACTTTACTATGTAAGGGAAGGAGTTTACGTAAGCAAATCTATTCCGATGTCAATACCAATGCAGATGCACTCCATTTACAGGGAAGCGCTCAACAAATTGATTCACCAGATACAGAGCGCTGGACTGGCTGAGCTATGGAAAAGCCAATGCTATGACGACATGATAGCAGCAAAAATATTAAATACCACTAAAATTATGCCTGCGAAACAGAATCCAATGGGTTTGAATGATTTTTTCTGGTTGTGGTGGTTGTATGGAATTGGCATGAGCGTAGCAATTTGTGTATTTTGCGCTGAGCTTTGGCATAAAAATCGAGCAGCGAAGAAGGTAATAGTTAAGCAGCAGAGATAAAAGAAAATAGTTGTAAGAGGTCGGGTATGATTTTGAAGCTCGGCATTATGTTTTAAATTTACTGCATAGCAATCATGCAAAAATTATTAATCAGACATTTACATTTAAGTGAGAGTGTATTATTCGCTTTAATAAATTGATGTTTCTACGTATATCATTGAATGTTGAACCGTGTTTCAGTTAATAAAATTGGCTGCAGATTTTTGATTGATTGATTCGTCAGTTAACAGGACTTTAATTTACTTATATCTGGAAGGTTGTTTGCCTATCTAGCTAAGCTGGTGTTCCTCTCTATTGATTTCATAAAAGAGCTAACCTTGCCACATGATGAAACGAAAATATTGGGCCGTATACATAGAAACTAAGCAATTTATTTTTTTTTTAATTTCATACCTTTCACTTAAGTTTATTCGAACAAATTGAATAAAAGGTCTGAAATTTTAAGAGAAAGATTCATACGGAATTTTTACGATAGAAAGGATTATAGGACTATAGATCTTAGAAAGTAAAGTAATTATTTGAAATCTAAGCGAATTATCCAAAATTTGCACCTCTCCTGAACAACATGAGAAAAAGCACGTTCAAAAGCATATTGAGAATCTTTTTCCTCTGCCTTAAAAGGCTTAAAAAGCGTTTCATATATGACAGACTCTCCATTAAAGGGTTAAATGTTGCACTTTCGCAAAGATATCGACCAGTATATCATTTTTTGTTGTATAAATTTTTTTGTGAAGGCTGATACTTTACGAGTTATTAGAGTTTAAACGAAGCTTTTCTTGTTTCCAATCTGGCGACTCGGGTACAGCATCTAATGCCCCAAAAATCGGGTCCTGAGATAAAATAAAGAGAAATCTTTCAGAAACAATGCTAATGGTGTATTAAATATAGTGTTTTCTAGTGGAATGGAAGCCAAAATCCAAAATTTAAAAAAAGTGACATTTTGAACGGCATTTTGAGAGTTAACTTATTATTTTTGTAACTTCTCTATAGTTTTCCTATGTTATGTGAGCATTTATCTTCACAATAAAAAATTTTCATTCTATTATCTCTTATCCAACCGAAGATCTACGATTTTGAAAAAACTCGTATTTTGCCTATAGTGCGTTGTTGTTGTTGTAGCAGTATACAAATTCCCCAAAAACTTTTTGGGGAGTGTTGCTGGAGTGACAGTCCTTGGCCAGATATAAATCTGGGTCGTTCCGGTTACGTAGACCCGACTGTCGTGGGAACGCCTATAGTGCGTCACTGCTTTTACTTTTCTAGTATCACTATTATTTAGTAATCTATAGGCCTCCCATATGTGCTGGACTTTGGCCAGAAATGGTGCACCAGCCGTAGAGAACTATTGATACCAAGTCCCTCGGACCAATGCCGTGACCACGCACTGAGCGGCTGAGCGGCATTTTTGTATGACACTATTTTAACCCCAGCTCTATTGTGTTCCAGCTATATGCCATTCAACGCTACCACCCACAAGAGTGGAGAGACCCCGCTGTGGAGTACCTCTGCTCACATATCTAGTTACTAGACTATCACCGCTTCTTACCTGAATAATTCTGTTTTCCAGCATAGAACGTATCCAACCAACCACCGTCGTTCGCACCAACCTTCTTAAGTGATTTGATGATGGTATCGACTTCAACTTTATTGCTTGAAGTGTAGCGATTCTTCTTTAAATCCCACCACATAATTCAAAACTGACTCCGTATATTTACTTTAGATGTAGGCGTATTGCGCTGTTGATAGGAATTCTTTTCCCAGTAGCGATCTTATGTAAATATATGTCTATCAACCTTTCCAGTGTTCTAAGAACAAATAAAGTCTAGCTTTGGGGTATAAAGTCCTTCAGCGTTTCGTAGTTCTTCCTACCAGGTTTTGGAATGAACTCTACTTTGACGCGGGGGACATAGCTCATACTAATACAGGCTCTATAAAGAGTTTCATGGTGCGGTGCTATTTACTTCTTTGATTGCTAGGAGATACTTTGACTTTTCTTGTTTACCAATATCTTTTGTCTCTTTCTTAAAGTTTGGGCAAACCATCAAAGTCCTTTGCGTACGGATAAAGCTTAGGGTTAGCATCTTATGAACTTATCAGCAGTTGAAATAGCATTTTTGGCGATATTCAAAGATATAAAGCGCATGTAAAAGCCTGATGCGTATAGAGGTTGTAAGCGTGCAAATGTGTCAGACGCACAATCAAAAGGTCTCCAAGTGACGCCGCGCTTAGTTAGAGATTGACGCCCAATTAGTTCCTTTATCTAAAGCTTAGTTTGGCTTTGAAATATTCGTGCAGTTAAGACAAAGTTCAATGTAAAATTATTGTGGATCTCGAAATTGGGAAAGGCGTTCAAGATAACCAATTTCGGCTGTCAAACTCCAAAATATGCAAAAGAATGAGATACAAAAGAAGATAGGATATAACCCAGTAAGCATTAAAAATATACAAAGGTGTTGTTGTTGT